TTCACAGATAAAATGCAAAACCCCAAAATAAATAAATCCTAGACAGATAGATTTAATTTGCCAGGCTAGTGCCACATAGTGCCTCCGCTCATTTTCATTTCTCTATAGCGACTAGGTCAGGAATCGGAATACATTAGACGGTTTACAAGAACCACAGAAGTTGTAGACCACACACGGCCAATCAGTGAAGAGCTGTGAAGCCATGAGTGGGTCTTTTTTTGTGATACAGCACAACAGTAAACAAAGCGGTAGAGATGGATGTAGACGAAGCCATACATTTTGTGTTGGCAACGATTCCTGAGATCGAGGATTTAAAGCCGGAACAAAGAGAATGGTGAATTTTATCAAGGGGAAAGACGTTAATGCCCTTCCTCCTACGGGATTTGGCGCATTACATACATCACAAGTGTGAACGAACGAGTGAACGAATCCTAGTGCTGAGGTCACACGTTTTCCACGAAGTGAAACCACCTGATGATTCAGGCTAACATTTAATGCCACAGTGTCAAACATTTTAGTCAACACAATAACATCTCTATGGACACAAAAGTAGCTGTAGTTTAAGTGCACGGGTGATTTTGCATTTTTATTCTTTCTCACAGTATTAAGGTAATAGCTGCCTTGTGCAGGATTGCTTTGTGGTACAAAGTCTCTCTCGTCTATTGAGAGGTTTTCACAACTTTCAATGATCAGAACAGCCACTATAATGCTGACAACAGCTAGCATGCTAACAGTGCAATACTCTTGATTAGATTCTTGAACACTGGCTGAAGGTTCTCTTAAGAATTTTAATCAATATTAAATTATTTCAACAATATGAATGCTTTATAATTAGAAACAAACGGCACACAGAGATGATGTGGACCTAACTAACCTTGACTATTACAAACGGCAGTGAATAGTTTCAATGGAAGCACTTAAGACAGTCAAGACCTTCACCATTACTTTTATCTTGCCATGACAGCATATAGTCCCCAGATTACTACTTGAACTTTTAGTTTGGTGTAAACACACACTGAGCACCGTGCGTCACAGCCCTTAAAAAGGCTTTAATACAACTCTTAGGACATTGACATAATGAGGGAGATAGAGGCAGTGAGGAGAGGAAAGACAGTGTTTGGAGCAGGTTGTAGTGAGTTTAGGGAGAGACCGTACTTTACTCAAACAACTGCACATGATTAAATGGCCCATATTATGATTTTTATTTTATTTTAATCTATGTATCCTCATCAAAAACATACCAAAGTTGTTTTTTTGTTTTTTTGTTTTTTCACTCATAATCAAACCCTGCATTTTTAGGCTGTGTTTTTCTCTCAAACTGAAAACCCTCTGTTCCTCCTTGTGATGTCATGTGGTGACACAGGAATTGCTCCACTGTGTTTTTAAACTTCATACACCTTCACTAGAGTCATTTGGATGATTTAAGCCCTAGAATTGCCAACCTCTACTGAACTAAAGGTAAAACTACCATTGCATGACCTCACAAGGTGGAACAGAGCATTTTGAGCTTTGGAGATGTGGACAGACTAATAATTAAGGATTACTCAAACATCTGTGAGTCAAACAAACAAAAAAAGTATGAGTATGTTTTTGATGAGGTACCAACATTCTAACATGGCTATAAGCTCATAAGAGTCAATTTCATGTAATATAGGACCTTTAAAAAAAAAAAAAAAAATCATTTTTTCCTCCAAATTACATTGTTTTTGTGTGTTCTTCAATCAATATTAAATAACTAAATATTTAAAAATACAAAAATATACCTCCATGATGCCAGTAAGCCGCTATGTACCTAAATATTAGTTGTGGGTTATGTAATGCAATACCTGCTATATGAGACAATGTGGTTTGATAGAAATGAAAATGTAAGATTGATATCCAATATTCAGGGACATGATAATGAGGTCTTTGTGTAATCCAAGACTTCAGACTCTTGGCTACAGCTAATAGTGAAAATAGATGTCATTTATAATAGTATATGAATAAATATGCCACTGAGGAAAAATATCAGTATCATACTACAATATATTTGGACAACTGAGACCAAAATTGAAAAGTTTTTGTTATTTATTTAAGTCAAAGGAACTGTATGTGATTTTAATTTCCATAAACATGACCTAACTGTGTCCCTAGATATGAGGTAAACATGGTCAAATCAAATATAGTTTTTATTGATAACAATTGTAATGCTGATTAATTCTTAAGTTTCTTATGTTATAATAGGCTCATGCTTTACGTCACAAGCCAGGAAGACATTTGTAAAGATGCAATGACAACTTCCGGTGGTCTCTGTTCATGGTAGTAAGTCTGACAAAATCTATGAAAAATAAGAAAATGGCCCTGCTTTCTTCATGTCATTGTAGCGTTCCATTATGTTCGACTAATCAACAATTACCTCTGTTTTCATCATTTACCCACTGACACACAACTCTGAGTGCACTGGGTAAATGCAATTAGAAGAGATGAGGGCACCAAATTCAAGATGATTCCAAACACAGACGTATGCAGTCTTCATTTTACCACTGATCACATTTACTTCCATGGATTTTATCACAGTTGGTAACTACACTGGAAGCTGTCAAACACATGTTTCCAAATGTCTTACTGGTTTGTGGAGTAAGCGTGAATAGAGGCTATTTGGTGTTTTGGCTCTCAAGAAAATTATCCAATCAGAAAGCAGGATGAGCTTCACATGAGTCTCTCATCTGGATTGCCAGTTTCAACGCTGAAATCCAGCTGGTTTAAAACTAAAAGGACTCTCCCATATATGAATCCTAACTATATAAAGTCCAGGACATACAGCCAATCATGAATCAGTGCTAGTGCAGCCTCTACAGCTCAGTGTATGTTATTCATGTACTTGAATGATCAAACTTGTATGTGTCTTCTATATGCAGGTTAAGGCACTGGCAACCCAGGCTGAGTTGTGATTGAACAGTACAGTTCCTTTAAAACCTTTCTAGATCAAACTTTTTAATAAGTGTATTTATTTATAACTACATATTATATTAATTTTCCATTCTGACATTACTGAGTTTTGTGTTACAATGTGAGCCCAAATTATAAACATGTTAATAGAAAATTTTCCAGTAACCTTTAGTCACTTGGGCTTTGTGTATTTTTGGTCTCACGTGGGGAGGGAAATCATAATGAGCGTGGTGTCTCTTCAGTGTTTGTGAGAGAAGCCTACACAGTCCACACACCTACAGAGACGAGGCTAAACTAAACGCTGTCCAACTCGGATAACAGGCTCCAAACGCACCAACGCTCTGCACTCCCACTCTGCACAAAGGCCTTCAACACTGTAACAGCATGCTCTCATTCAAATACGATGTGCTCAGATAGACTATAGGCAATGTATACAGTCTACAAGAAGACAAACACAAAATACATAAAGGTGGAGTATAGTCAATTAACAGACTGCAACAAAAGTGTCAGATTTGCATGTGTAATTATTAAAAGTGCTATTATACTAGTTCTGATCTTATAATGTTGTTTCCTTATCACCTTTACTCCATAAACCTTCACTAGAACCCTTTGGATGATTTCAGCCCTGGAATTGCGCATCTCTGCTGAACTAAAGGTAAAAGGTAGCGGTTAAATTTTAAAACTACCACTTCATGACATCACAAGGTGGAACAGAGCATTCTGAGCTTTGTATGTAAACAGACTAATAATAAAATATTTCTCAAACATGTATGAATGAAACAGAATATAACTCTAAAAATGTTTATGATGAGGAAACAACATTATAATATGGCTTAAAGCTCACAAGAATCCATTTTGTGTAATAAAAGACATTTAAAACTCAGATTAATCCAAATCTAACCTTGCAGCAATGGAAAAATATGATTTGAGGCATTGTAATCAATCACATAATAAAATGTATTCACAGCAAACATAAAATAACAAAAATAAGCTTGGTCCACAAAGAGGTAAAACATACCATAGTGAAATACATTCACATATACATTATGATGGTCACTGTCTGCCCTCTAGTGGCAAAGAGGGGAAAAAAAAAGAAATGTCGTCCACAAATTACTTATAATGCCTTTGCAGTCTCAAAGTTGTTGTTTTGTTTTGGTAACTTTTATAAAGCAGCCTATTCATGAGATGGGAGGTTTTAACTGAGAATGGTACTAAAGGTTCACAGTTTATATTTAGAGTACTAAATCATACAAGGGAAGTCACCTGTTTAACATTGTATTATCTTCAGTGCATAAGTTCCGCATCACTTGTTCCTCGTGCACTTTGGATCAGTTTAGAAATTAATAACATACACAATTTCAATACAAGCTTTGAATGACAAAAACATTGTCCTAATGTATCCTTATGAGCTTTGAGCCATGTTATAATGCTGTTACAACATCAAAAACATACCTGGAGTTGTGTTTTATTTTATTCACACATCATGTTTGAGTAATCCTTTATTAATAGTCTACATTTCCAAAGCTCAAGGTGCTTTGTTCCACCTTGTGATGTCATGTAGTGATAGTTTTCAAGTTAACAGCTACTGTTTATCTTTTGTTTAGTAGAGATTGGCAATTCCAGATCTGAAATCATCCAAATGATTCTAGTGAGTGTGCATGGAGTTTAAAAATGCAGTGTGGCACTTCCTGTTTTACCACATGACATCACAAGGTGGTGAGTGCTTTCAGTCTAAGAGAAGAATTCGGCCTAAATATGCAGGGGTTGTGTGTTAAAAATGTATGAATGAAACAAAACATGACCGTGGAAACCCTGACTCCAGGTATGTTTTTGATGAGGAAAACACATTATTACAGAGATCAAAAAATTTCATATGAGCCCTTTAAATTATGACCATTGATGAATACAGTTAGTTAAAGATGTACTATGTAACTTTGCCGTCAAATCGTCACTTCACCATCAAATGTTGTCTCATACTAATCCACTGACCAGAACAGACTATCCAATACAGTCTGCTCATACATATTTGTCAGGTCAATGTATATTTAACATATTATAAGAGTGTGCCTTACTTTTCATGGTGCCTCCTTCCTCCTCTTCATCTTCGTCAGAGTTGATGACCATGGTCCCCAGCATGGTTCCTGTATCATCATGTTCGATCATAGTTCCACTGCGAGAGCCTGTGGATATGATAGTGCCTGTATCTCCGGTCCCCGCTCGGACCATGGTGCCCTGGTCAACCTCATCTTCATCCTAAAAAGACAAAAAAAAAAAAAAAGCACAAAACAACAATGCTTACTCTAGTAACAGGGTTGATTGAGATAAACGGGGCATCCAGTGTAAAAACTGTAGAACTGCTTTGTTGTTGCAACCAAAAAATAAAGGTTAAATTATCTTCAAAATAATAGCTTGTATTTATATTGGACTTTATAAGCTTCAGAGGCCATTCAAAGCACTACAACAGGTTTTATAATTATTATTATAGATTTTATTATTATAGACTATGTATTATTTACTAATGACTTCCCACAGCAAGTGACTTTCCACACAGCAAGTTTGATTAAGGTGGATCTCTTGCTATTTTGCTACTTATTTTGAATGTATCATCATTAAAATTTGTATTCGTTGTTATTATAATTTATTGTGATGTGTGAACTACTGTGTCCAAATAATTTCCCTTTTGGATCAATTAAGTTTGTCTAGGTCTAATGCTAAATTAAAGTTTTAGCAAACCAACAAATAAGATGAAAATTATTTTTGGTAAACAAAACCTTAGCCAGTAATAAATATCTTTAATGATGATATTTCGGTTCCAGTACCAGTATCAGCCTATTTCGCAGGATGTCCGCAGATACTGATATAGGCAGATATTTGGCAGAGATATTTTTCCGGTGTGGCCCTAGTCTGTGTGTGCTCATGTGTCATTCCAAGTTTATCCTCAGAGCTTCAGATTTGTCTTTTTGGACAGACTCATGAGTAACAATGGAAACAATGGAGACATGAGGCTAAAATATGTTTCATCGACTCGGGCTCCAGTTGACTTTACATTGGAAAATCGGTTCTCCTTTGCCCGTGACTGCTGCAGTGAGTCTGTTCATTTTGGTCTTGAAACATTCATATTAACCCGCTCTGCATGATCCTGGTGTTTTTATTTTTCTATTTTGTCCATAAATAAATTCCTATTCCTAATATGGAATTCAGATCCAAATTTGCCACCCTCACTTTGTCCAGTTCTTTATACAGTCTATGCATGCAACAAATGATTTTTATATTCCAGATAAATACATTTTGTTGAAATCTTTACTTCAAAGATAAAAATTAATTTGTGGGCCTTGCTATGGGTTTTAAAAGCTGAATATCGGTGTCATCAAGCAAGCAAAAAATTGGATATCAATATGGACTGGAAAAAAATCCACATCAAACCATCAAAAATGATTTTACCGAGTTTTCATCGTCGTCTGCGTCCTGCTCCCGTTGCTCCGCCTCCTCTTGTCTCTTGAGTTTGATCTCCATGGCGTCTGTGATCAGGGCTCTCAGTATCGAGCTGGGTTTGGCCGACTTTATGAAGGGATGCTGATGGAAGAAGACACATGTCAAATCACACTTTCAAAACGCACAAACCACAAAGTATTGATTTTTCAACACACCACACTTCAACCACTACAGACCCAGAACACGTATCAAGAGTTAGAGCTGCAACTAACAATTTTTAATACCATTTTTGACAAGGTAAAGGTAAAAATGACTGAAGGATACATAGATATTTATGTGTGGTTTTGATTCAAATCTGTTTGGAATGTGTTTTAGATCTAATCAGTAACAATTATTTCAATTAAATGTTGCTACCATACTAGGAATAATACTAGCATACTCCAATCAACCAAAAATATTATCACCACTGAGTAAATCATGGCCTCACTGAAGTAGAAGATAAAAAGAAAAAAGTTAAATAAAATTGAACAAAAATATAGAAGCTGGAAAAATGAACAAGCATAGACATTTGACAAGGAGACATCCAACTTTTAACTTAATAAATAAAAATACATAAAAAGTGTTAAATATTAAAAAGATGCATTTTAAGGGGCTAACCATAATAAATAAATACGGAATTCTTATTATTTGCGGCTTAACAGTAAACAAATTTCACAGTACATTATTAGGTTTATCACTTAGTATCCACTTTCACCACATTAAATTTACTATTTGAAGTTAAGGCAATTATAATTCCTAAATCCTAAATTCCTTGAATCTTGAGTGAGCAGTAATAGTATGCTACCTGTAACAGTTGTGTGGCCGTGGCTCTTTTCTCTGGGATTTTGACCAAACACTGTTTCACAAAGTCCTGGAATGATGAGGACCACAGATCTGGGTTTCTGAAGGTCGGAGGAGGATTTGTGGGGATCATGAAGATAGCCTGGATAACAAAACACAAACACAAATGAAGAAGTCACAAATGAAACAGCAGATAATGTACATGATTTAATTTTGTAAGTATTATTAGAGATGGTATACTGGTTATTTACTGTCAGCAATAGAGGGTTTCCCCAGATATTGGTTCGGTTTTGATTTGGTATTGAAAATGTAGCTGATTTCGGAACAGATATTTTTTTCTGCACTGTCCAAGTCTCTGTGTCCTATGTGTTATTCCCAGTTTGTACTCAGTGTTTCAGATTTTTCTTTTTGTGTTATGTTATTATTTTTACAAAAGTGATTTAGTTGTAAATTTCACTAAGTTAGTCTGCACTATAGATTTAAAAGCCTAATACTGATACTGGCAAATATCACTTTTCTGCAACAACAGCAAGACAAATATCGTAATCGGCTCAAAAAAGTCTGGTCATCCTTAAATATAATAATAAAGAAAACTGGAGGACTCTACTTAACTAAACTGCCAAATATTCACCCCGGAAAAGGTTTTAGAAGTCAATAAAAAATTTTATGGTGCACGTAATTGAAATTTGTGCATTAGATCAAATATATTTAGTACTGAAATAAAACTGACGCCATTAATGTTTCGCTAAAGGTGCTGTGCCTGATTTTTAGAGTCTTAAAACTACTTCATTTTAAATGGAAAGGTTTGTAGTGTTCTAAAGTTATTCCTCACTTACCTTAGGCGTTCTGAGCATCCTAATTATTCACCGGAATAAGCACTTTTCACAATGCTCAGAGAGAACATCAACTAGCATGCTGATGCACACTTCCTGATTTATCAGACAATAAAATGCTTTCTAATTAGATGTATACAGAATGCAGCTGCTTTATTTTGACCCAAAGACAAATTTAGCGCAAGTAGGTGGGGACAAATACCTACAGCCTCATAATTAACATCATTAAATTAATTCATTCAAATTCATCATTAAATCTGTCTTCTGACTCACTCTCATAGGGTGTATATCTGCATATGGAGGTTTGCCCTCTGCCATCTCGATTGCGGTGATGCCCAGAGACCAGATATCGGCCACACAGTTGTACCCGATCTCCTGAATGACCTCGGGAGCCATCCAGAACGGTGTGCCGATCACTGTGTTTCTCTTTGCCATCGTGTCCTGAGGAAGACAAGAAGATTACTAGTGACTCAGGAATTTTGTGTATTTAATTATAAAAAAAAAAAAAAAGTAAATATTGTCAATTGCTGTCAATCTAGATTAATGGCACAAATTTATCACACTATTTTTTATTTTTTTATATCAGTCTGGTCACCACGCCCGTTGCTGTGTTTTCAGCCAGAACCAAACATGATTATGCAAACAAATTTGTTTATTTAGTGATGCATGTGAACTAAAATGTTTACTCTGCAGCGTGGCTGGGTAAAATGGATGGCAGGCATGTGAACGGAAGTGGCATTTCTCTCACCTGTGATTTTTACTTTCTTATTTTCCTCATAAGTAACCATATTTCTTTTAATATGCGTGTCCCTAATTGGCTAATGCACCTGTCAATCACTCACATCTGAACTCGAGGATGCCCAGAGACATCCTTTACAAAGACTCACATTTTGTAAAGTACTGGAGAAAGATGTTATTCTCAATTTCAGGTAAACATGGATTTGAAAGTAATAAAATGTACCATAAAGTGTTTTGATTTGAAGCATTTTAGTTAGATTATTTTTATTACTTCATAAAGTTTTTTTTTGTTTTTTTTTAATTGCCTAATGTCTAATGCCGATTGTTTCAATAGGGTTATAAAAAAGTAGCCTTGTATTGTTCTCACAGTGAGTTGACCAGCAACCCCAAAGTCGGCGAGTTTGGCCTGTCCCTCTGTGTTGAGGAGGATGTTTCCTGCTTTGATGTCTCTGTGAATCTTCCTCATAAAGTGCAGGTACTCCAGGCCCTTCAGAGTTGACTGCAGGATGGTGGCGATCTCTTCCTCCGTCAACTGTACACAGCACAACAACACAGGGAGGGGTCTTTAGTACAGCTATGAAGCTAATTAACTACTAATGACAGGTATCGAGATTATTCTGATTTGGCAGAATTAGTCACATGTCAAAATCTGTTTCATATATCTAATGTCAAAATTTGCTTCAAATTTTCAGTGTTTACAGTCAGAAGAAGCAATTCAGGATTGTTTAAAGATCAATAACTAGATACTAATTGATACAAAAACTTGTACTGACACAAGATACTCAGTCATGCCGTTTTCTTTATAAATAATAAATAATTAAACATAAATATGAATATTATTACTAAACAGGAACTCAAATGTCACTACCAGTACTTTTGCATTGGAACTAGAAGTCAGGATTCTAGACCAATATCACTGTAACTGTATACTTGTATATGTGGTTTGTGTAGTGTACTACTGTTACCGTCTTGTTACGTATTCGGATGATGTCAGACACTGATCCTGCTCCACAGTACTCCATGACGATCCACAACTCTCGATTTTTGAAGTAGCTGCCGTAGTACCGTACCACATGTGGACTGCAGACAAAACAAACACAAGTCAGACTAGAGCAGGTACACATAAGAAGACAATATACAAGAAAGAGGCCAAACTCAGAATAAACATCCAAATTTTGTAACTAGGTATCACTGTCATGAAAATGTGTCTGTCTGAAGAAGGTTTGACTACAAACAGTCATATTGTGGTGTTTTAAAAATAATTTGAAATTGAGAGCACTAAAGAACTGTAGTGCGGATCTGTTTGTACATTTTTTGGTCTTGGACCTAGCATGCAGTCGCAACTTTTATGAAATTCTGCCAGCACCGTGTTCACGTGCACACCAACGATTGTATCATCATCTGATTACTGAAATATCATGTAAACAGTTCAATCTGATGCGAGGAATCTGGTTTCTTTACGATTTATTCACACCTCTGTGGTTTTTGACAAGTACAACTATGCAAAAAAGGCAAACTAGCCTGTCAAAGACAAGAGTGAAAGAGAAAATGATGAGATGACGAGATAATGAGAGAATGAATGATGTACAAAAGAATTCTTTCAGTAATCAGTAAGACACAAGGTCCCTCTGAAAACAGACATGTCAGGTGTTTTGATGATCAGATTTCTCTGATGCTCTGGTGCTGTAAACACACACCAAAAATTCTGATCCAGCTTTCTGTGTTCTGATACTGATGAACTTTGAGTTTAAGTATCTTCTGACACCCAATATCAATAAACCAGTATTGTGTTGGTGCATCCATAATAAAATACATATTGTTGCTTATAAAATTCTTACACACGTTCTTCTGTTTTTGATATTGTTAAGTGACTCTGCTTGACATTTAATCTTGAGCTTCCTTTTTGTTATGACATCTACAAATACATTTAGTACAAGAATAAAAATGCATTGGCACTAGTACTTCATGCAGTATTTCAGTTATTTCAGTAGCTTTGTTCTTTACACCTTGTTTACTCAAGGTTGGATTTGTTGAATTGTTATGTCGGACTACTTTGATGTCTTTAGCCATGAAACGAGTATCTTTATCTGATAAGTGTGGGTGGGCATCAGAGATTCAACGTGTAAATATTTGATTGAGTGTGCGGAAATTTGCCTTAATGTGTTTATGTCTAAAACCACTGGCTGTGAGAGGGTGGGTGACAATGGAAAACCCCATAAAGATGAGTAATGTCTGACAGAAAAAACCTAAAACAAACCTCAAATACAGTAAGAGTACTTTAATTGTGACCGTAACTTTATATAGTGATGTAAAAAAGTACTCTTACGTCACAATACTTTGTCAAAAGTATCAAAAATCAGACACTAAAACTAGATACTAATTTGAGCAAGTATGAATACTTTAAAAGTCACATTCACAGGAGAGAAATGAATGATGATTAGATTGATCTTGAGCGTTATCAGAAAAATTACAAGTCTAGGTCTAAGTCAAGACTAGTATAAGCCAATGGACCACTATGGAACTGACCTGAACGACTGAGGGATTACATAGATATAAAACCAAATGGAAATACAAAAGAAAGCACTATGATTTAGTGCTGAAATTATCTGATTATCATTGTAGTATTGGTATTGAGTCTACTCTTTAGTATCAAAATTGTGTTTTAAATTTTACTATCGTGGCAACACTACTTCAAAATATATGTTTAAACTAAAATGACTACTTATCATAATTACCTGAACATGAAAAGTTAAAAATGGTGGAACATATTTTAAGAAATCCATACTTTTCTTTCCAACTGCAATAACTACAACAGTTACCACTACTATTGTTTAGTACTACTGTGCTATCAATATATGTACTACTTGTTAAACAGGTATTATCACTAAGAAGTTGTTTTGAAAATGAAACAACCAGCTGCTAAGGCTGCAAGATTATTCAAAATTGGATCACAATATAGCAAAAACTGTGATTTCTGAAGTACCATTATTTCATCCACAAACAACAAAATATCCTGTCTAACGGCCGCCACACATTACAGGATTTTTCAGTGTTAAATGATTTTTAAACGTGAGCCAAAAACACACACACACCACAGACGCATGGAGAATTGTGTGAGATTTGAAAACTCCGATCACAAAGACTGCAGCAGGACATGTCTGCGGACCACAGGCTACACAGTTGTGAGCGTGATCACCGTTTCCTGTCTACAGTTCAGAGCACTATACTTCTAGTTTAGATACAAGTCAAAACTGAGTTATTATTTGTGAAATGTGATGCAATACTTCAGATACAGTATTTTTAGTGCACAGAAGGCTGTCGATAAAGTACACAGGAAGTAGAGTCACTATCACCAATCTACAGTTTCACCTCGATCGGCGTACTGTGGATGTAAACAAACACACGTGAGGAATTACTCTTGCCTTTTTAATTTAAGCAAGGCTTCAAACTGGATTCACAGTGCTGTTTTGTGGACTGAGTGTCATTGTCAACTTTACGAGAGGTGAGTAATAAAGTCTCCTCATTCTTTCGCTCTATCCTGAGTTTGTATTTTGCACCTCTATCTACGTCACTCCTCTGCCCCTGCCGCTCTGTTTTATTGACTGTTACCGTAGCGTAGCTGATGTTTGGCAGTTCCGATCTGACAGAGCAGCTCAGAGTCACACTGACACCACATATGAGAAGCAAATCTCAGCCAAAATCGGGCAAATTCTCCTAAAGTGTGTGGCGACCTTTATTGTGCGTAAAAACCTGCTAACCCTGTAGTTTAGCTGTGTTCAAACGTGTTCTGAAATGTGATTCTTGAACTTAGTTTGTGGGTTCATATTTCAGTCTTTTTGTCAATTCTCCTCAATGCAAATGAGAACCTTAAAATGTGAACCTCAAATAGAATTATATTATTAAACAAAATTGAACTTAAATTTTAACAGCAATGCTTGTCAGAAAATTCTCAATTAGATGTCCCCCAAACTGTTCAGTCCCACCAACTACCAGCTGAGTATGCAAAAGTTTTGTTTTGAAAATAAAAAGACAGTTTACTCAATATATCAAAATTTATAGATGCATTGTGCAACTTTTCGATGGTCTGCCATATGCTTGGCTTCATATGGATGTTCCACAGTTTGGCATTACACTTATCCATCTCAAAAAAGACAAGTATGTGATACCACTGGGTCAAGTTACAGGTCAGATCAGTGGAGAGGTGACCCCACGCACTGTCACAAAACCTGTTTTTCTAGGTATTCCTGAGCTATAAAACCAACTGTAATTGAATACATCTAAGGCAGAGCTGTGTTTAATGCCATACTGTGGAATATTCCAGCCAGAGCAATGAAATCTCCATAGAAACAAGCAGGTGACGGACCCACAACCAAAAACTTACACAGTGCAACTTTAAATTAGCGTACACTGACCTGTTGCACTGTTGCATGATGGAGATCTCCTTGATGATCTCCTGAAGGTCTGACTCCACTGGGACCTGTTTGATGGCCACGATCTCTCCAGTTTCTTTATAATGGGCTTTGTGCACGCAGCCATAGGACCTGCACGCAAGGAGGAAAGCAACGTCATTGTTTGTAAACTTGCGTTATAGAGACACATTCAAAGAAATAAATAGTTAATGTAATAATACTAACTAATAATGTCGTCAGTATAACAAAATTTGAATACTATTTAATACCAATTTTGATACTACAAAGGCACTTTATATTTAAAGACAGTGAAATTCAAGGCTCAACACATTCGATATACTTATTCTGAATAAATAGATGATTTTCAATTCTACTATCAAGTAGTATCTGGGTTTCGATTATTTTGACAAACCTAGATGCTACTAATACTTTTAATAGAAGTAATATAACTATATCACTTCATACAGTACTGGCTACCACTTAAACTATGATCCCTAAACTTACTACTGCTACTACAATACAACTATTTCTTCAACCACTACTACTATGTCATCTACTACATCATCTACTACTACTACTACTACTTCCACTACTACTGCAACTACAACTACTACTACAACAACTACAACTACTTCAACTACTATTACTACTACTACTAGTTCAACTACTATGTCTACTACGTCATCTACTACTTTAACTACTACAACAACTACTACAATTACTACTACTACTAGTTCAACTCCTAACTACGACTATTGCAACTACAACTACTTCTTCTTCAACTACAATTACTACTCCTACTACAATTACAACTACAATTACTACTACTACTACTACTACTACTACTAGTTCAACTACTACAGCTACAAAAACTACAACAACTACTACGAAAGTAAAGCAGATTGCAGAGAGACATACAACTACTGGTGGATTGCTTTGTGTAATAGTACAAATACTTGAGTTTATTTTTTGCAAAATGTTCCAAATTTATTAGTTAAATTATTATGTTTATTTTATGTACATGAGCAAATATTTACTACATAAAACCATCTAAACTAAAATTGAGGACGACAGGACAGACATGGGCCCTGCAGCAGTTGAAAATAGAACATAAAGTCAATGAGGCGTCAGAACAGGAAGTACATTGAGAAACAGGAAATGAAGAGGCCACGACTTTATGTAGATGAGCTGCACAGACAAGGGCAGGGCCACATGCTGTCCACAGATCAGACAGTAGACAGGAGACTACTAAAAGAGCGGTTTTGCCATGTCAGGGAATATAAATGTAAATGTTGTCAAGATGGGTGAAAAAGCAAGGGTGTATTAGTAGAATTAACTCAGCTTATAGCAGAGATGGATAGTACTCCTTTTACTCTGCCCACTTTTGAGTAAGTTTTTCAGTAAAATTGTATTCGATGTACTTTGTAACAGTGTAACAGTACTTGAATACAAGTTTTGGTTATTCTTCCTGCTTGAAGTTTCATGCTGTCAATATGAAATGAAATGACTTGAACATGTAGTTCTTCTCTCTCTCTCTTTTTTATGTAACGCTGTGTCTTTCCAATTACATAAACTTGATATTATAAATCAAATGTTACGTAATGACTCTTAGAATTACTTTTGCTTAAGTAGTAGCTTCTCCAAACACTTTTTTTTTTTTACTCTGTGTATTTCTTTGTGTACTATGTGAGTAATTACTTTGGAAAACTGTATTTTTAGTTGAATACGATTTCTGGCAACTTTATCCACCTCTAATTTACAGTAAGTATAGCAATGCTTTACTCACTTTAAGTTTAATCTCATGTTTAGGGGTAGAAGCACAAAAAGCAGAGAAAATCAGCAATGTACCAAGACGGTTCAGTGAGTTCCCCTATAAAGTTTGATGACAAAGTGTTGAATAAGTCTCACCCCTCTCCGAGCTTCTCCAGGACATCAAACACTTGCTCTGGTGGTTTGGTCAGACTCTCCTCACTCAGCTTTTTCAACTGTCTGAGGGGAAAAAAGGACAAAGATATATTTTTAGAAAACAATATTGCCTTTAGTTGGGGAGTCAAACTTTATTTTTAGTACTACCTTTAGTACTTTTCTTGTTTCACTCACTCAGTATTTCCCCCTCTATTCACAGATTTCAGATTCCTGTTGTAGGTAATATTTTTGAGGACTTTTCTCATTCAAAATATGTATACATAGTATTAAATTGTTAATGTCTATGGCAATGATCTTAACTTTTCATAATTCTGAAACCCACGTATAATCCATAGCAATTCATAATTGTATACAACATATTTTTGTAAATGGTGAAAAGTACTTAAAATGACAGCTATAAACAGAAAACTGTGATCCATGAATACATATTTAAATAATAGCGGAGTAACGATATCCAAGTCTATCGTCATTATATGAACCTCACGTTACGATATTTACTGAGATAGCATGGGAAAGCTCACGATATAGTGTGGAGGCTCATGATTAGGGACGTAACCAATATCCAAATCTGTCGGTGTGATATTTTCACAATACATCTCACGGTATGATACTTATTGCGATATTTTGTGTAGACTAACAAAACTGTTAATATGCTGCTTTTTCCTCTTAAAATGCCTTGACAAGACTTAATCCAAAGAACTAAGATTTAAAAGTGCTTAGAACTGTTATTTCATCATGTAATCTACATTGAAATGGAGCAAAGGATCATGGTCTATGTCGTTCCCTCTGTCTTTTTTTTTTCGCTATTGCAGCACCAGAACTCTTAATTTAAGCAAAAGAGACTTGTAATTTAATATATCGTGATGGTCCACGATATTATTGTGAGAACTTTGACGATATGATATCACGATATTTCAGTTATTGTTACATCCCTAATAAATAAATATAATAAAATGTTTGGTCTGGTGCAAAAAGTATATAAGCTTCAAGGTCCCCTACCTGATTTTGAACCATGATTGAAAAACATGTGTCAGAATAAACTGAAAGACCGTCCAGTAAGTCACAGGTAATTGTTTCCGAATGATTCTCACCAAACAATGTGCAAAAAAAGAGATTCCCTCTTTTTTTTTTTTTTTTGCACAATTTTTGTCATTGGACTCAGCACGCAATCGCAACTTTTATTGGATGTGCATGTCTCCATCTACCATCTGACCAAGCAATGCCTCAGACTGGATGAAACTCACTCATTTACTTCTTTGAGGCTCTCTTCCTGATAAAATATCCTCTAAAATATAGAATTTGGTGTAATTTTTCTGTGACAAACTTTTGCTTTTATAATATACTGTATGGAATAAAAGACATTTTCAAGAACGGTGACATAACTGGTGACATAACCAATATTGTAAATCTGAACGATAATATCACCACTACAAAAAAGAACAACAAAGCACTCTTCCTTTCAGATATCGCCTGTCATCAAGTTGGATGACACAAAAATAGCCCCAGAGAGTATAAAAATAAACTAACCCAATACAAGAATACAGCTTCAAACAAGATTCAAACCAGAAAAATAAAAAGTCAAAATGCCCTGAAGGGTCAACCTCTCTTAAAATATCACTGTCAAGACATCAATCAGTGCCTCCATGTTATGATTTGACAAAATATAATTTATCTAACCACTAAGCCGCAGTAGCTCTATGCCACTAGCCACAGAACAGACTCCCCTGTAGTTAGTCCTTACTCATGTTTGCACAGCTAAATTTAAGCATGCCTCTTCATGTTAACATATCCATGATTTTCTCAGGCCTGGCAGGAACAACCCCTTATCAGCACTAAATACAGATTATAATGTAGGTTCTTGGGTGTTGTGGTTGAGCTGGGTCTGCTCTTTATGGAGACAATGTGGAGTGATAGCACGGGGAGGTATGCAGTAATTTTGTCTTGGGGGTGCTTCCAGTAGAGTTTAATATGCACAAGATGGATAATAGTGCACTGTGTAACTTTTCTGGTGAGGGGGATGGGACCCTCCATTGGCTCAATATGGAGATGTTATTGCTTTTGTCTAGAATGTATTATCTATATTGCATGCACACTGCAACTTGGCCAAAATTTAAGATATTAATACTTAAATCTATCAGAAAATGACTTAAAAGTAGTGAAATTATCTGTCCATGCAGCAAGATAATTTTACTTGTCAAGTTATCTTAAAATAAACTACCTGTAGACTAGAATTAAGCAGTGTCAGAATTAGTAAATAGATATTAATCTGAAAACAAGATGAAAAACCTGATATAAGTTTTTAAATCTTGGCCAGATCAGAGGAATTTGTTTTGAAAATCATACATTCTTCCTATAGGTGCCTCTCCACAGATCTGACCTGTAACATGATCTGTTGGCCTGCTTGTCTCCATGGAGACAGAAAAGCTTTATGCTACACTGTACAACCAAGCAAAGCAACAATGCCTCCAGGGAGATAAGCAGGTGGTGGTGTAATACAGCTTTAAGTTAATCACAGGTTTGACCATTCAATCTAACATTAAGTTGACTTTTGTAATGACAAACCTGAGTCTAATACAATAATTATTGTTGAGCTCACATTTCATAATAATCTAAAATTATGTATTAACATAGTCAGACTTGTGCAAAAATAAATGTGTATAAAAATAGGTTATTGTTAAAGCAAAACATGACATTTGTTGGCTTAGTGTTGGCACAGTCAGTAGTAGGGCTGGGTATCATTAAGAAGTTGCCTTCAATACATAAGCCACGATACGATACATATCTCAATACAGTGCACTTTTGGTTCGATACAATATATTTCAAATCAATTCGATACGGTTCAGTAAAAAATAATGGCTAAATCATGGCTGTGATACTAAAAGTCTTTGTTAAACCACTTCTTGTGCAAACTAAATTTGAAACACACCAATTTTACTCATAAAAACTGTGAAAATATCAAATGTGTTGCATATATGAGTTTACTTCCACTAAACAAGCAACAAAACTGTAGCACTGTAACTAAATAATTTAGCCAAATGTACCAAAAAAATACGCTTAAAGATATATCGATACAGCAGCCCATGATATCGATACTGCATCATCATGTTGAACAATACGATTTATCGATATTTCAATATTTTTGCACACCCCTAGTCAGTAGCAGTTCAGTTTGATTGACCGTTCCCTAAATTGACAGTCAGATCTCAACTCCCAACTGCTGTGTCCTTGGGCAAGACACTTATCACTTGCCTCCAACCTCTGAGTACACTGAACTAAATCTGATCTTCTTGATTTAAAATGCTTTAATGACCAAATGGGAATATAAAAATACTGTACAATGCGGCAATTTAATTTACCTTTTTATTTTTTCAAATCATCCCATCATGTAAACTAACCTAAGAATCCAAATTACAGACCTTTCCAATAGAGCATTTTGCACTAGTCCCTATCTTAAAAGCTCCAAATGTCCAGTATTGCAGTGGTTAAATGAGGAAATCCTGGACACACTCATGATAAGTAGTGTTGACTTTTACTGGCACCACTCAGCTGTGATAAGTGACAGAATAGGAACTCAGCACTTCCTATGATCATCATGACAACCCCAGAGTAAACAAAACTACCCTCTCCAACTAATGCAATCTTTAAATCAAGTTGTATCCACCTTATTCACTTTTAAGAGATGTTAGGGGTTGCCAGTGGGTGAATATATTTGAATTATACAGATAAATAAAGATGGCAGCTAATTTATGCTCTTAACTGGAACAATGTAGGGGAGGTAATGGCACAGTAGTTAGAACGCATCGCCCACCAGCGCAGAGTTCAATGGTTGAAAACCAGCTCCTACCTATGCACGCTTTTGTTGTGGTCTTGGGCAAGACATCCACCTTGTCAGTGAGTGAGTGAGTGATTAGTGGTAGCTTATAATTTTTTACGAGGCAGAAGATGAAGATGGAAAAAAGTTATATAACACAAGAAAAATGTCCAGTAGTTTCAGTATTTGACTAGTCTTTTTTTATTTTTTTTTATTAGTCAGCTATTCCACCACTTGTCTACTGCATACTGAGTTTTTTTTAAATGCATTTAAAATCAAATAAAAGATAGAAATATGCATCTAGGTAGAGAATATTTATTAAGAGTATTAATGATGAAAGATAAGTAAAATTAAGTTAGTTATTTCAATAGCTTACTAGTGACAATTATTCCAATTAATCTAGAATACAATTTTACATAAAAACTGATAGTAGCATTTAACACCACAATCAGTATGAAGTTCTAACTCTCCTCTCTTGATCATCCTAACCTGTCCCATAAAGGTCTAGTAGTCTTCCATTGTCAGCACATCTATATAAACCTCAACCATGTTAAACGCTTTGGCTGCCCTCTGAGTGTTGCCACTGGATGTAAAGTGATCTGTTTAAACCTACTGGGATCAAACGGATAATCCCGGGCTCACTTTTCTGAATACTTTGGATTACAAAGATTTTAATAGTGACAAATCCACAGTATGCCAGCAGCATTTATTCAACAGCTGACAGACTTAGTATTGGGTTCAGTCCAGCTCTGTGGTTACTGTCACACTACCCCAAAGCAAGGGTCAAATTCACAACGAGTGCTCCACTTTACCATGGCATTTTAGACATACTACATGCATTCTTCTATTATTTTCAACCATTCTGAAATGTGGAAATACAGATGATTGAGTCATTTGAATGAGACATTTTCATAACGCAATGCAGGCTTATTTCATAAAATATGAATAAGACTATGAATGGAATTTGCTTGATTATATTGTCATGCATTACAATCAAATATAGACAAAGGGTTGACGTTTTAATTTAAATTTTAGGTTTTAAAATTATGCATATAACACATTTTTTACATTTTAGATCTGAATTTATTTTACTTTTAAGCATTTGCAGGTAGCCTTCATTTATAACCTACTACTGATGCATCAATTGGACACTGAAACAGGTTAAAAATGCTAAATACTAAGTGAAATCGTGAAGTAATGTATATTTAAAACCCAGTCCCCGTAATGCCAGGGCTATTTTAAAATTTTATAGGTTCATTTTGACCCCGTGAGCTGCTAACTACAGCCAAATCAATGGGCAAGTCAAAGATCATGGTCATTTCTTAGCCTTACCTTCGAGGATTATGCCTCATTTGCACTTTATCCGTACTAACTTGCATGTTGTCTTCTTAAAAAATAAAAGTTTCTGTTTGCAAAGTCAGCCGATCACGCTTGCAGACCCAACTCGATGCTAAAAGTAACCCACAGCCGCGTATTAGCTGCTAGGTGGCTAACAGCTAACCCTCTTCAGTCTCGACTTCACTTCTTCAAAATACTTTATCCGTTTATCCTTGTTTTCGTGATCCTTGTGCTGATATTGAAAATTTGTCCCAGATGTCCTGGCCTCTGTGGGGGGCTCATCCTCGTCCCCGGATCAGGACAACTTTAAAAAGCTTGTAAGGTGGACGCTGTGACATCCACTTGACGAAACCAGGAAGAAGAGAGAGGAGGCGGCGCGGACAATGAGGTGGAGTACCGCGCACGGCCGCAAGAGGGAGACAAACACACAGGTAAAAACCGACAGACTGCAGTTACACAGTCTGTACTAATGCTTACAAAGAGGTGTTTTTATGCATTTCATCATATTACTGTCAGATAAGGGTCAAAATCTACAAAACATTGCTGGGGAAGTGTAGAAAAAAACTTGATTCTTAGATAAAAACAAATTACCAACAGTTATGAGTGGGTACGGTTACTGTAGTACATCAGCTTGTGTAGGCAAATGAGAAATAACAGTGGTACAGATAACTCCAGGGGTTCCCAAAATGATCTATGGAGTATGCAAAAAGGATTGTTAAGATTATGTTTGAAATTATTTTTAATATTTGTATCTCCCTTGACAGTTATTTAAATATAAAGCACATGCTTAGTTAGAAAACACAGCTATATGATAGTTTGACAGGGGCCGCATCCAAATTTTTTTTTTAGTCCTCTTATTCCGCCCCGGCCACGTTTATCTTTAAATGCTCCTAAACTGCAATTTCTTGTGGTGGCACTTCCAGTTAAACAGGAATCCCATTCATTTCAATAGCAAATTTAAGAAATTTTTTTTTTTTTTTTTTTTGCTTAAATATGACAAAATAGGTTAATTTGTGTAAAACATGCAGTGTTAATGTGCACCAACAAGTCAACACTGCGCTGATTCCCTCTTTTTTTTTTTTATGACAGCAGCATCATAAGGTGAATAAGAAATAAGGTGAATAAGTCCAAAGTCTGGGGTACTCGACTGATTATCAAAATTGTTGAAGAGTACACAACTGTAAAAAGTTTGGGAACCGTCTGGTTCATGCAAATCACTCTTTGGATGTCACTATGAGACAGCAAATAAATAAAAGCAATAACATACACACAGATAACATACATTAATAGAATAGTTTATTTAGTTGAACATAACATGGCAATGTTCTCATCTGATCAGTAAATAACAGCAAAGGGGACTTTCTTCTTACAAGGAATGAACAACAGGAACTGGGAGCTAAAAAGGGGAAAAATTATGAGAAACTCTTCAGTATACATGACCTTTATAAAAATGAAGAGCCCCGTCATAGAATATGTCCTCACCTGGTTTACTCTCCAGAGGGCCGTACGCTTTCAAAGATGCCCGCTTCCCTCATGGCGTTAAACTCTTTGGTGGCATCATACTGCTTGTAGAAATCAGCATAGGCCTGTTTCCTGGGCTCCGTCACTGTATACTGTGAGACATTAGAAAATTTTCGTGTATAAGAAAAGCGTGTGCCTTGTTCATTTACAAACTCTCTAATTAGTAGCACATTTAATTTTAAAATACATTCTAACAGAAATGATCTAATTAGATGCCTCAAAGAAAATAACCTAGTTGAAACTGCAGCTTACCTTGAAAGCAATCGCAGCGGCCAGAGACAGAGAGAAGGCGATGGGCAGGTGAAACCTCAAACGCTTCCCCAACAGCCCCCTCATCACAGGCTTGGGCAGAGACATGATGACCACTGTGGACAGAAAAAAAATAACCCTGTTAAAACTATTGTTGCCAATTTGTTGACAATTTTCCATAATGAAAAGATGCAAAGCGAAAAATCAAGTCAATTTTGGACAAGATCTTGCATCTCTATTGACTATTATACTCCTTACAGATGTACATAAACAACTCAACTTTATGTAACAGATAACCCCATGTCCTGCCAATCATCATATCATTGTTGCACTGTCTTCCTATGACCTCTTGGATATAGCTGAGATTGTATATTTTAGTACATATTTGTCTATTATATTTGACCTGTACACATATGTTTATATAATTATGCCTTAGTTGACACTTTTTGACACCTTCTTTTTTGCTACTTCTTTAGAATTTACCATTTATATATTTTAGTCTTTGTTATTATATTAAATTGTGATGCGTGGGCTACTGTGTCCAAATGATTTCTCTTGTGGGTCAATAAAGTTTGTCTAAGTCTAAGTCTTCCAGGCCTTTTTGTAGTAATCTTCTTCCTACATCTGAAAACGTATTGCAACTTAACTCATTTCTTGCTGTAACAGATGGTGCTGGAGGAGTGACAGGTGCTTTATACTGTCAGGGTCATATTTGTTATTAGAAAGCATGGAAAACCTCTTCTCTGCTCATAAATAAAATTAATCTTCTGCTTGCATGAAGATTAATTTTATTGAAGTGGAAACAGGCAGAGCCTCCCTCACATGTGAACTGGTTCAGAGATGTCATGATGCATTTGGATCTAGAGAAAATTAGAAACTCTTTGCAGGGTCAGGAAGATAAATTTAACAGGATATGGTCACCTTTTATTAGCTTATTTAAAGAAGGTATTTAAACTCATTTATATCCAAGGTATATGATGGTCTTTGTAATATCCACCTTTTCAACTTAAACACTCCGGTGAATTATTATTACTTTTACTTTTGTTTTTTTATTTTTATTTTTATTATTACTATCATCCAACATAATAATCTAAAAGGGTCCTAAGATATTATATTGACAAATATAATGACATGTATATTTCTGTATACTTTGCTTGAAAAGCTGATTGATCTTTTTAATCTTTTTAATCTTTTTTAATGTCTGATTTAATGTCTTATTTTATGGACTGGCACTGTGTTAATATACGTTTAATAAATAAGTTATCGCATTATGTCTTTCAACAGTTTCCTTAAACTCATGCAAATCCCCATTACTGAGTTTAATAGAGCATTTATATGACCTTAGGATCGAGAGGAGTGCATCTGAGGGCACGACGCCATAATTCACCGCTGCCAAGTCAGGTCAGCACATACATAACTTTAGTCTAACTTACAGTGCACCGATAGCGCTTTCCAATTCAAATGATGTAAATACAGATCCGGTACTACACGATATATTAAAATCATCATTGACAAACACATAATATTTTTTACTTCCGCTATTTTTTCGAAAGCGCGTTTTGGTTTTAGCACTGACAGATTTTTAGCAAACAAACCTCGATCAACATAAATTTTCAGTGAGTATTGATAAAAATCGTAAGATATCGGCCCCACGTTGCGAACTACAGCGTATCCGATTGAGATAGTCATGATTTTTACTTTATATTTATTAATTTGTGTATTGACAGGGTTAGCACAAAGCAAGCGGTATGTGAGCTAAAGTTAGCCTCCTTTAGCTTCGTGTAAGTCAAAGCCATTTCTCGCAATCAAAGTAAACCAGCACGCGTGAGGTTATAAATTAAGGTGTGATCTAATAGTATTCATACAAAATCGTGAATAAATTAAGGGTTTGGAGGAGAATACTTACAGTTTTAGACGCACGACCTTCACACAAACCGCACTGGCTGATTCGCTGTATTCCTGTACCGGAAAAGGCTGCAACGTGAGCCGGCGAAGGACAAGCGTCATGCGTTTATGCGAAATGGGGCAAATCAGGACAGTATAAAATATAAAATATATACGAATGAAACTGGGCAAAAATAACTTAAAAGTAACATTAAAATATTTTCTAAAGTACAAACTTAATTAATACTTAATTGTGGTCTAGGCTGTACACAATTATAGCATTAACCTAGGCCCATTTTTATTATTATTATTTTTTATTCTCATTCACTGTCAAGGTTTTTTTTTTCTTATTAATAAAGTACTCCTAAAAATTAAAAAATACATGGCATCTAAGTGATTTTTAACTGGTTCACTCGCTGACTGTCGCTCTGTTTTTGCCGACTCGATGATGACCTTTGTAGTTTCACTTTTTGACCACAAGAGGGAGACAAAACCTAAATGATTTACAGTTACGGGGCCTCAAGAATCGCTGACTGTCCAACACGTCATAAATAAAAGAAAAATACTTTAAATATGTATTTTAATGTACAAAATGGTGTATCATACAAGTTGTTCTAGAAAAGTAGCGGTAGGTCTTCATATTTCAATGTACAAAATATATTTGTTGGCTAAATTAAAAGTTAGTCTATTCTCTTATAAAAAGCTTACAGTTTTTGTTAAAGTGCATAGTAAAGACAGTTGCATGACACAGTAACATCCAAAACATGATGCTGTAATTTATATTACAAAACAATGTCCCCATGCAACTTTCACTGTGATGTCGTTTCACTGGTTTCACATCCTTAAGTCTCATTATTTAACCTGCCTGATTTATGTTTAAATGAGGCATCCTTTCGCACTCCTGTAGACCCACTGCTTCACAATAGTTCCTTATCTTGTTCTTCTTTTTTGGGCTTTCATTCACAGGCAATTACACATCAGAAAATGCAAACTGTAACATCAGAACATACATAGTTATTTACAGAAACAAGTTCATTGTACACAATATAAAAATCAGTTCACATGTGACAGTATTATTATGTGCAGATAATGTAAAAAAAAAAAAAAAATTGTATTTCCAATGCTTGAACTGGAAATTCCCATAACATAACAGAACAGTTCAGATTGTGTCCCATAGCTTGCTTGCTTGCTGAAGTCCATTGCAACAATTTTTTTGATAAATTCACTGATGGCTGTTTAAATTCTGGACATCTTATTACAAGAGGGGCATGTGAATGTGGTATCTGTGTCTCTGGAAGTGACAGAAGCATTTTTTTTCTGCTTTTTCTCTCTCTCTCTCTTTTTTTTTTTTTTTTTTTTTTGTTCCATAGTAATAAAATCCAACTTTGCACTGAAGAAAGTTACAGGAACACAAGAATATTATCATTGTCCATGCATAAACATCTATTAGCTGCCAGTGATAACATGGACAAAGTGCCGTGTTTTGTATGAACAATTTGTCCATATAAGAATCTTGTCCTTCCTGGGTCACCATAGTTCATTATGAAGCACTCAGTCCTTTGATCAGCCAGTACACAATCTTCCTGTATTTTCCATATTTCATCCACATTATATTATCATTTGATTGTTTGATTGCAGTATACCGTAACCTTACTAAGAACTCTTTTTGCAGTGAGCTACAGGAACCAGTTTTATTTTCTCTTGTGTACAAAACCACCTTTTTATTGGCTAAGTTAAAGCTACCATCTGTAATTAGATTTGTCCAGCTCTTGTTGTATTCTCACCCTTCACCACTAGATGTTATCTTCATTACAGCTGTCTGATAGTGTGCCAGCTTTGGTCTGACAGAAGACCAGAGAGCACAGGTGAGCCCGAACAAAGGCCAGGTGCTGTCTTTTTCAATGAGTTTTTTCTTTTTTTTTCTTTTTTGTAAAGCTTTTGCATTAATGAATTATTTTATTGCTGTTAAATTATATTATTTATATGGGAAGCCCTAATTATGTTTTTGCTCATATTCTTTCTTTTTGTTCGTTTTCCTTTTGTAAGTTGCCTATTAATTTGTGTATTATAATTTGTTAATAACTTAATAAAAAATAAAATAAAATTAAAAAATAGCCCTACCCCTACCCCAGGTGAGGGGTAGGGGTGTGCAAAAATATCAGAATATCGATATATCGTATTGTTTAATGTATACAGTATTGATATCATGGGCTGCTGTATCGATATATTGCCTAGAGTATTTATTTTGGTATATATTTTACAAAATTACTTTGTTACAGAGCTACAGTTTTGTTGTTTGTTTAGTGGAAGGAAACTCATTTATGTGACACATTTGACATTTTCACTGTTTTTATGATTAAAATTGGTGTGTTTTATATTGACTGGACAAGAAGTGGTTCAACAAAGACTTTTAGTATCCATGATTTAGCCATTATTTTTACTTAACCATATAATCGATTTGAAATACAGTATATGGTATCAAATCGAAAGCTCACTGTATTGAAATATGTATCGTATCTTGGCCTATGTATCAAGGTATGTATTGTATTGGAATTTACAGATGGTAGCTTTAAATTCACTTGGAAAGGCCATTTACAGATGAATGATTAAATTATAAAACATTGAAACCCTGGTTATTAAAATCTTTACACATATATATAACTTATTTACAGTAACATTTGTTCTTCCTTGCTCCAAAATAAGTCCAAGTACCATTTTGACAAGTTACCAAAGCATATTATTATCTAGATAGTTTGAAGAATGTTGGTTATATCATAGAATGTTCTGTTCTCCTGTATCACATTGAAAGGGGTGGCCGTTAGGCTTGGCGTCTGTCTTGTACCCTGGGTGTACCGTTGTGTTTTGTTTTTAGATTCAGTGAACGCATTAGAAGTCATAGGGCCGGACCATCATGGTGGTGGACCTCAGGGAGTAGCTGGGCCCTCTGAAATGGTGCCACTTGATCCCGTTGAGTTTGCGGATGTTGTGGCCGATGGAGTAGTAGATTCCGTTCAGGTTGGAGAAACCACAAGCGTCGAACCACCAACCTGTGGAAAAAACAGACCATGTGTAGGGTAGAGATCGACTAAATTATTTTTTTTTGTAATGAAACCAGTTTGGAAACCAGAGCAATTGATGGTCAATAAGATCTTCCAGTATTTTTGGGCCAATACATAAGGATGATTTTGATCATTTCGACCCAAATAATATAATCTGAAATGACAACAAATTTAACAATGACCTTATTTCACTGCAAACCCATCAGAGAGCGGTGTAGTCACATTTTGAGCAGTGCCCTCTTTGCATTTAAAGGAACAGTCTGGAATTTTTGACACAAGACCTCATTTCATAGTTAGCCAGAGCGTTGGAGACGTGTGGAGACACTTTTTTTAAAATATTCCATCCAGTCCTTGTATTTGCAGAGGTCGCTGGTGCTAGACTAGTGCATGTCAATGGCCATAGTTATTCTGCCACTAAAAACAGTCTTACCCACTATTTTTTTCAGCAGCAGCAGAATTTTACTTTGCTGGTAAAATAGGTGCTCGGTGATATCATTCCACCGCTGCCAAGCTTTCTATCAGGAAGTACAACTCACTGCTGCTGCTCAGACATAAATCCTTCAAATGCAAGATTGGTTTTACTTCTAAAATTATTCTGTTGATGCAGACATTCACATCGACAGTCTGGCGTTATAATTGTTTTGCCTCGGGTGTTTTGTGGAATGGGTAAGACTGTTTTTAGTGGCAGACTATCTATGGCTCTGCAAATACAAGAACTGGATGGAATATTATAAAAAGAGTCTCCACACATCTCCAACACTCTGGCTCACTAGGAGATGAGGTCCTTCCACGTTGACTGCTCTTTTTTTGGGATTCTTCCAGCCGATCACCCGTTGTCACCTTTTTTTATTGACCTTGTAGCTTTTCTTACACTGTTGGGCAGGCGGGTTATCCTGATGCACTGACAAGATCCTCACCCACTCACCCACCCTCAAGGGATAAAAGATGCCCTCTCATTTATGAAACATAAGACACTCTCTCAAAGGCTCTGGCTCTAAATTTATTGAAGTCTGGTTGCCTCTTATAGACCAAGTCATGTCACTGGCATTGGAGGTGACCCCATGAGTTGTGTTGTTTCATCTCATGTATTCATGGGTACAAAGTGGTTGATATAGATATGCTAAATGTTTTAGTATCACATATTCTTTATTTCTGTTTTGGTCTCTTTTTTTTTTTTGTCTTTTTTCTTCCCTTTTTTAAGGTGTGTGCATTGTGAACTGTTAACATTGTATATTGGCCCTGAATACTATACATCTTTAAGTAAACTGTCTTTTATATTTTGAAAAAACTTAAATAAATCATACATTAAAAAAGAAAAGAGCTCCTATCTCCAAAATTCTGGACTGTCCCTTTAAGTGTTCGATTGAAGCTCATGGTCAGTGGGTTACTCGAAACAACATATCAGCCGATGTTGGAGATTCAATGCCGATAACTGATACACTAAAAAGTTCAAATATCAGTCTATCTCTAGTGTAGGGTGTCATATAGATATAGAGTAGCAAGGGTGCAGTGGGTTAAGTGGTTGCCTATCAACCAAAGTGTGGCTTAATCATCTTACCGACAATACGTATCTGGCAGCAACAGGAAGAACATCTGACACAAAAACTATTTCCAAATCTCTTGCTTGCCTCTGTTTTTCCTTATAAGGATACTGATAAATTAAGTTTGTTTTTTATTTGACACTGTTTGATACTGTTTATATTTGTTTATAACAATAACAAAATAATTGTGAGAGCCATGAGAGCCATATGCCCAAAAGCCAGTTATTGTTTATTATAAAATGTGGAATATTATTGTGATTGTTCTATTGTCTATTGTTCAGAAATACAAAAATCTAGCCATGTTTTTGGAATAATCAAATATGAACCACACTAAAATATACTCTGTTATTACATCGGTAATCTTAAATTAAACTGTATTATATTCATCATATTTATTTCTTCCTCCCCTTGACTCAAGTGATGTTATTTTGAAGTTACAAAGGCACTGTTTGAGGTACGTTTGTTAATTACTCTAGCTCTCCACAGATTTGTTTTGGCTTTTGCACAATATCACATATGCTTGTTTGCTTCCTGTGTGTTTAACATAAATACAAGTTATAATGTCATTTCTCATTGCCCTATATTCCTGTTGTTTTGGCCCATACATCATGCTCCTTTCTTAAGTGTATTGTAAATGGCTGTGATTATAGCTGACTGTCTGAGTAATGTTGACCGCTCCGCTCTGTTCCTCAGAGAGTTGGACCTTTTTTACCAGGACTATTAGAGTAATCTGCATCAGGACTCATGAGGGGAGCTGTTTGTGTTGGCGCGGGCACAGGGTGAGGGCCAGGGCACGGCTGGGACAGACCCAGGTTTAGGGGAAAGCCACCGAACCACTGCCGCTGCCATCGGACATGCTGACTGGGTATTTCTGTACTAAACACAAACTAGGGAGTTTCTCATGTTTAGTAACAGAGAATGCTGAGCTACTGTATATATTCTGGGGTAGATGAGATGTTGATCTGCACTTTATATAGTAATAATTATACTTGTATGTATGTACTTGAGTAATAGTTTGTGTAGTACTGTATATTGACCCCATGTGAGCAAAAACATGGACTAAAATAAAATATTAGCTTTTTAGTTTGTTTGGTTTTATTAGTTTAGCTTTTTTATTTTTCATTTGTGATGTTTTTATTGCACTGGCAAACATGCATCCTTACTGTGAGAAGGCTTGCATCTCCACAAACCTGACTCTTACTCGGCCTGAAGGAGGGCTTCCCCCCCCTTGTTTCCATCGAAATGTTGTTCTGTTGGCTATAATCTTCCCCACTATGACATACACCACTGGTCAAAAGTTTTAGAACACCCTAATTTCTACAGTTATTTATTGCAATTCAAGTTGTGTAAGTCCAATAAAGAGCTTGAAATGGTACAAAGGTAAGAACTGAACAGCCAGAGGTTTAAAAAAAGATAAAAGATAACAAAACAACAAGGCCAAGCTCTGCCGAAACTACCTCAGGAAAAAAGAACAAAATGGTGAGCTTGAAAACATGGAGTGACCGGCACAGTCTCCAAACTTAAACCCCATCGAGCTGGTTTGGGATGAACTGGACAGAAGAGTGAAGCAACCTACAAGTGCCACACATTTATGGGAACTTCTGCAACAGACTTGGGAAGAACTCTCTGAAGAATATTTGATTTCTATTGTAAAAAGAACGAGCCACGAGTGTTTTCAGCTGTTATATCTGCCAAAGGTGGACACTTTCATGAATCAAAAGTTTAGAATATGTTTTGGTCAACAGTAAACAGTAAAAAGTGAGGTGTTCTAAAACTTTTGACTTGTAGTGTAAAAATTATCCTAATAGAGAATGTCCTGATTGCAATATGGTTTTAACTTTATATTTCAAATCTCTAAGTTGGTTTTCCAGTGAAGAGTCCTGCATTAAAGTAATTACTCATCATCTCAGGTTTTACATTTGAGAGCATTTACTTGTATAAAACAGAAGTGTATTGTGTACCTCCAGTGAGCATGAGGGCACATTTGCAGTGGTCACAGTTGTCGTGGTCCTGGTCTCTGGTGCTGAAGCCCATCCCGTGTGTGGCCAGGCTGCTCTGTCTGCCCGCTGTACCACTGTAGCCCCGCAGGTACAACCTACACACAATAACATACAGGTAATGTAAGATACGCTTTATTGTCTTTAGAGAGAAATTTGTGCTCAGTTTTAGACCCATCCTTCAATGCCGCTGAAGCAAATAGTATGGAGCAGTGGGTGATCCATCATCTCTAGTTCTGAGTCTATACTTAGGCTTTATTGATCCAAAAGGGACATTATTGGAACACAGTAACACACATCACAATATAATATAATAACAAAGAGAAATGGTAAATAATGCATTCTTAATAAGTAACATTATGCCTAATTTGACACCAGTCTTTGTTGGAGGATTAGCACGATTGTTTAAAGTCCATGGGGAAAACAGAGTAGCCAAGGAAACTTGCCCAGGCACAGGGAGAACATTCAAACTCCAAATATTGAACAATGAGGTTGGTGTAAATTAGGTGTGTCTAAACTTTTTTCACCATATTGTTGCATATAGAAAGATATTCATAGTAAGACTTTCAGATAGATGCATTTTACAGTAAGATTGACAGACACACAAGTTTTAGGTCTGTATCACAATGCAATGAGATGTTATTGAGATTGCAGTGATAGAGATACTTGAATTAGAAGTAAAAAGTACCTCTTAATAATCATCACACAGTACAATATTTTTACGTGTTGGCTGAATTAGAATTAGCAACAACTGTTGAGATAAAACCCAGATAATAAAGATATTTTTAATGATATACTCTGGAACATTCAAGGGAAAGCAATAACATGTTTATGGCCACCAGCAAAGTTACATAATGGACCTTTAAATTACAATTCATTTCACACTCACCACTCACTATAAAGTGTAAATGTCTCAAATAAATAAATAAATAAATAAATAAATAAAATGATCCTTTACACTCCTCTGTGTGCAGAGTTGGGACCAAATCGTCGTTTTGCAAGTCTCAAGTGAGTCTCAAGTCTTTGACCTCAAGTCCAAGTCAAATACAAGCAAGTCCAAGTCGAGTCTCGAGTCACCATCCCATAAGTCCAAATAAAGTCCAAGTTGTCTGCTTTGAGCTTCAAGTCATTTCAAGTATTTAAAGCAAAGTACCAAATATAACTTAGATTTTTGCTATTTATATGAATTTTAAGTATTTATAGGGTATATAAGAGTTGTAGAAATGCTAATTTTTCCTTTTTAAATGTCTTGACAAGATCTTAGAGTGAATCATTACGGTCAGAATAGAATTCAGATTTAAAAGTGCTTCTCAAGTCTTCTCAAGTCATAGGCCTCAAGTCCGAGTCAAGTCCCAAGTCACTGACCTTCAAGTCCAAGTCGAGTCCCAAGTCTTAGTCCATTTTTACCAAAGTCAAGTCTCAAGTCCTAAAAAAAAGTGACTCAAGTCTGGCTTGAGTCCAAGTCATGACTTGCAAGTCCGCACCTCTGCCTATGTGCAATCAAAACTGCACATAGGTCAAGGGAATGTGCAAATAAAACTACACATAGGATTAGGGAGTGTGCAATTATTAATAGAATACAAGACTGTGAAGGGCTTGCCTGTGAAGAGTGACTTCAAGGTCCTGCTGTTGTATCACTCATGGCTTGTCTAGTAGTTCGTCTTTTAATTATTTATGTTCTATGGTGGTTGTTTATACGGTGCTTATGCTGCTGTGTTCCCTTGTCTTTGCGTTAAGTGACCCCCTTTCCCAAGACAAATTTCCCTCGTCGGAGACAAAAACGGATTATCTTATCTTATCTTATGTGACTAGGCTCCGGTGCATACCTGTACTGCTGTCTCTCGCTGGCCAGTGTGAAGCGGTCGTATTGGGAGTACCCGCTGTTCCCCTCCCAGTCCTGCAGCTCCACTCTGAGGCTGTATTGTCCCTGTGATGTCAGCTGATGCACCACCTCATTACCCAGCCAGTGCTCCCCCAACACCTCACCAAAGCCCTGCACACATAAACATCATTAGTCATTTAGGAGGATTGTATTATTTTAACTTTATTTAATTTGATATCCATTATTGTGATTAATAGATTTCAAATGTTCTTTCTCCCAAATGTGCTGTTAACATGAATTGATGGCAACAAACCAATAAACACATTTTTTTTAAAGGATTGTATCATTTCAGTTCATTTTAATGTGTCTATGACTGAATTATATAGTAAAATCCTAAATGCAATAGAAGCATTGTTCAAAAGGTCAATATTACATACCTGGGGTTGTGTTTTGTTTCATTCACACTAGTTTAACACATAAACCCTGCACATTTAGGCTTCTTTAAGTTCTTCTCTCAAACATAAAACACTCTGTTCCACCTTGTGATGTCATGTGATAATGCAGGAAGTGCCCCACTGTGTTTTTAAACTCCATACACTAGAATCAGTGAATGATTTTAGTTCTGGTAATGCCAATCTGTACTGAACTAAAGATAAAAGATAAATGTTAACTTGAAATCTACCACTTCATGACATCACAAGGTAAAACAGAGCATTTTGAGCTTTGGAGATTCAGACAGACCAATAATTCAGGGTTACTCAAAAATGTGTTAATAAAACAAAACACAGCTCCAGATATGTTTGTGATTAGGAAACAAGGACTTTTAATATTATATTAATATGACATGTATTCAGTTACTTCCCAACATTTTGTATAACAGTTCTAACTCACCATCTTGTACTCCCTCCAGCTCCTCTGGAAGTCCACACTGCCATTACTCCGCCTCTGGAACAGTGTCCAGCCCCCACCGGCCGTATCCATGTCACAGAACACCTGCAGAAGAAAGAAAAATTAATAAAATGATAAAATAAATACATGTTTGATTAGATAAAAAGGTAAAATGTTGGAGTTGTAGTGTGTTTGTAGTACTTGTACTGGCTGTGTCCTGTTGCTGATGTAGACGTGGTACACTCCGCTGATGGAGTGACCTGCTCTGTAAACATCTGCACAGTCTCTCCACACGTGGCTCCTGAGAGGGGGCGCTAGAGAGAGAGAGCAGAATGAGAATCACCAAGCATAAGTGACATTTTTAAGCATAGTGAATTATATGTCAATATGATTATTAATAAGAAAAAAAAAAACAAGATATTTTGACATTACTCTAGTGCAAACTTCAATGCTTCTCACACTGCAACAAAAAGCTGCTTGGCTAAAATTTAAGATATAAGCACTTAAATCTATCAGAAAATGACTTAAAAGTAGTGAAATTATCTGTCCATGCAGCAAGATAATTTTACTTGACAAGTAATCATTAAATAAACTACCTCTAGATTAGAATTAAGCAGTCTCAGCACTAGTAAGTAGATAATAAATCTGAAAACAAGATGAATAACCTGATATAAGTTTAAAAAATTTGGCCAGATCAGAAAAATTTGCAGTGCAGTCTGACCCAGGACTGACATGGTCCTAGAAATACTTATTACTTATACTTTTAACTAAACTTATTGCAAAAACCTTTCATAATCTCGAAAAGGTATTATAAATGTGATATACAGTGATATACAGTATATTTCCATTCTATGTTGAAAGTGTGAGTTGTCGTACCTGCGGTGCTGGTGACCATGTTGATGAGCGTGTGCACAGACTCCATGAGCTGGGCCTGTTGTCTCTGCAGAGCTGAGTTGTTGGTGCTGGCGACTCTCAGCTGTCTCTCCAATGCCTCGATCGCTGCCATCTGAGTCCGCACTATAGACTGTATGGGACAAAGATGTGTCATTTCAATAAGAGATGCACGAATCCAGCTTTTTCAGTTTTGATACCAATTCCAATAATATGGATTTAATATATCAGACAATATCAGTGCAGAGAATAAAAACTGCATTTATTTCCTTAAAAGAAGAACAAAATAAGACAAAACTGATCCAAATGTGTTATGAACCTGTTATTTGGCAGCCCGTATACAATCCAGTACATTGTTTCTTATGGGCATTGATATCTGATGCCAGTATCCGATCGGTGCTTTCCTAATTTCAATTCATGTATTTATTTTTACATAAACAACTACTAATGCCAAAATTGCAGTTTCAAGGTGCACTGTGTAAATTTTGGAGGGTCTTCTTGTCTCCATAGGGATATTACTGCGTCATCTGGAATGTTCATTGTTACAGTGGCTGTACTGTAGTGTCCTTAAGCAAGACACGTCGCCCACATTGCCTAGTATGAGTCTGGTGTGTGTGTGATTGGATGCGTTTGGAGCAGGCGATGGCACAGACTGACCTCCTCGCTTCTATCAGTCTCCAGGGCTCCAGGCTCCGGGGCAGGTGTGGCTTTAATAGTATCTTACCCCCGCAAGTGTGGAGTGAATGAATTAAGCAAAGTAAAGCATCTTTGAGTGTCCATTATTATATGAATCAAATCCATTAATGCTGTACTGTGGAACATTCCAGTGCATCTTTGTGTTGTGCTTGTGGAGAGAGGAGAGAGGTTCCGGGGGTTTGTTTATGTGTTTTTTCTGTTCTTTGTTTTGTTAAATATTGAAATCAGTTTTTAAAAAGTGCATCTTTATGTTCACATTATGTTTTTTTAAACAGTTTTGTATATAGGCATATGGAAATATTTAAACATGTGTGATAATAACGGCAATTAAATGTTTACAATGTTTTTGTGAGCGAATGGAAAATATTTGTCTGGCATGGAGTTTTGGAAATTTCACAAATCCTCATTTAAGATTATAAAGATGTAACTTTGACAGTAATCTTCAAAGACCAAAGTACTAGTTCCTGAAATTCAGTTTGAGAGTTGTTGAGTAAACCTAGGATTAATCCACAGAAGCAGAGGTTATGTAATGATAGTCTAACCTTTCCCACACAGGTCATTTCACATAATCCTGTATTTAAAGAAGACATTGTGTCTGCTATAGTTATAATCTATGACAATCGAGGATCATTATGTTATAATTTCAACATTTTAAATCATAATATTCATCTAAAATTACTCCTATATTGTACAAAAGTGACTCTTGTGAGCTTTAAACAATATTATAATGTTGTTACCTCCTCAAAAACATACATGAAGTTATGTTTTGTTTCATTTTCAAGTTAACATCTACCTTTTACCTTTTGTTCAGTAGAGATGGGCAATTCCAGGGCTGAAATGATCCAAATAAAGGTGTTTGGAACTAAATATGCAGGGTTTGTGTGCTAAACATGTGTGAATCAAACAAAACACAACTCCAGGTCTGTTTGTGATGAGGAAACATTATAACATAGATCAGAAAATAGTGTAATAAGGGGGATTTAAAGTACACTACCTGCAGTCTGTTCTTCTCCTGTCTCATGTCCTCCAGCTCTCCTCTCTGCTGGGACTCCAACAGCGCCACCTTGCTTTCCAGACGACTAAAAACACACACACAAATACATTACACAATCTTCTATTTTCATCCTTTCTGGCCTATATTGACTGGATTATTAAATTATTTATTAATTTTGCATGTTATCCATGTGTCTGGGTGGGTTTGGATACTTACATTTCCTTCAGTAACCTGAAGAATACTAAATAGTTTAAACTTCCAGCTATGTTTCTGACTAAAACTGGATCCAGATTTGATTGTCCTGCTAACATTGAAAGCATAGCAATCCATAAATAAAACTCACTATTAAAACTATTTAGTTGCAATATGTTTTTATTTTTTTATGTACTTATTAAAGTCTATACTTTTACATGCTCAATTTGATTAATTCTGTTCATTCTAGTGTAGACCTAGCCTACAGGACATTAAATTTGCACTATGTAACTTTTCTGGTTGAGGGTCTGCCACCTCATTTGCCATTCATCTCCAATGGAAACAGCAGGTAACGCTACCAGGGCAGGTTACAGGTCAGATCTATGGAGAGGCTACCCTTCTCGCAGTAAAAATGCATGTTTTTCAAGGCATTTCTAAGCAATAAAACACTCATGTTACACTTATGATAGACTGCTTGTGGATCTTTACAGGCAAAGGTCTAATATCCGTGGAACCAAGCAGTCAAACAAAAAAGTTACACAGTGCATCTTTATTCTTTGTCTGGCCTCTAGCTCCGGTCTGGGACTGGTTGAGGTTTAGGCTGTTTTTTTAATGAATGACGTCTGGTGTAATTGGTCACAATTACAGAAGGCCATAGCTCCGGTTCCTTACGTCCAGCACTGCAGCTTCCCCACAGGACACCGCAGACTTTGACCTCAAGCTTTTAACCTGTCCTAACAGCTTCATCTGTACCTCACATCTCATGTGGTGGGAAGTCATTACAGAGGCTTTCATTTATTTGAGAGAGCATTTCATCTCTGTGTGTTGCCAAGTGCCAAGTTTACCAGTGTCGTTGTGTATAGAAATCTTTCTCTGTACAATCAAGTGTGTTTTACTTACTTACTTTACATTATATAATAAAACAGGTTCCACTGCAGACAGACATATCTGCTGCTGGACAAAACCGAATGAACTCTAAAAATAGACTTCAACTGACCATGGTTACATTCTATTAAGATAAAGCAAGTCAGAGCATTGCATACTCTTTTCCCCATGTATTTGAGTAAAATTTTAACGGGTAAATGGTCAGATTTTTATATAGCACTTTTCCACCCTCAAGGCACTCAAAGCACTTTACCCGTCCGGTATATTGTAGCTACATTGCATAAGTAATCTCTTGAGTTCAAAATAAGTCTGTTGCATACTACTGTCTAAATCTAATTAGAAAGTGTTTTATTGTCCGATATTCAGGAAGTGCACATTGTTGTTGATTTACAGCAGTCCTTCTCAAATAGGGCGTGTGACCGCAGGTAGCATACTTTTTTTTTTTTTTTTATTGAATTACTAGAATAAAGTGTAATTGCACATCCACTACAGTAGTTGGCAGTGACATTCTCATTGTCAGAGTGTGCACAGAGAGAATTAACACTGTAATGTCAGGTTTATTGCACTGGACATATGCACACAGAGCACAGAGCAGAAGACATGAATTGCAGAGAAAAAACTGTATGTAATGTGTATGTCCTACTGCTCGGCTTCACTGTGACTACGATGGGAAGTGCAGTGGCAGTGGACAGTATGAAGCCAAATAAATGACAGCGTCGCTTAAAGACATTGTACCCCTGTCATGCTGATAAGCCGGTTGAGTTTTTTTCAGCAGAGGAGCTGATGCAGCCGCAGCATTAGACGTGGTTTCTGTCACGCTGGATCACGCAAGTGCCCCTGAACTATGACACGGACATCATCTTTAAAGACGACGAGGACACAGGGGCGGACTGCCTTATGACACAGGTGAGCACAGTGCGGAATACGGACATGTGCTGCCTGTGTCCCGGGAGTCGCTTTGGAGACCCAACTAAAACGTTTGCTCTCAAATGTAGGCTACTGAAGGCAAGGGTGAAATTTGTCCACATTTGGTAGTGTTTCTGTGGAGTGGTGGGGTGTGAAATATTTTCTTCTTCCTAGGGATGGCGTGACAGAAAATAATTGAGACGCACTGATTTAAAGTGATTGCAAAACTCTGCACTGGTCTTCTAGTTGTAAAATATGTTTTTAAAATCATTGTGGTGAATAATTAAGATGCTTGGAATGCATAATGTAATAGGAATGAACTGTTTTTTTGTTTTTGTTTTTTTAAGATAGTAAAAATCAGGTACTGTAAATTAATTAACTTCTTTAAGCTCACGTTATTAAAGGTAGATTTGAGTATGTAATTGTGTAGTGAAGTGCATTATAACGTTGACTTTCCTCCTGAGTTGTACCTGTTCTTGTCTCTGAGCTGGCTGATCTCTGTGGTCTGCAGTAACAGCTCCTTTTCCAACTTGTTTGTGGACAGAGAGTTCTCCAGAAGTTGGATTTCTATTCGAGATGTGTGGTTCAAAACCTGGAAAACAAAATAAGAAGAGTGGTTTAGAGATCTCTATGTAACTTAATACTAATTTTAAAAGTGTGTTACCTTTGCTTCCACCACGTTGAGCTTCCTGGTCTGCTCGGCTGTGTGCGTGAGGAGATTTGTGCCGATTTCCAACATGGTTGCTGTCTGGTTGTGAACGGAGTTAGACCGGATGTTTGAGATGTCTGGCTTTAAACTACTCTGGATGACGTTTTCCAACTGTGGAAGACAGGAAAAACAACCACAATGATATTCGCATATATTTTAAAAAGAAAAGTTTGCACAATAAATCTGTCATGCATTACCAGCTTTTCTGAAGATTTTAAACGTGAGAAAAAACGTGGGATCAAACCACCAGCCAAGTGGGGTCTCTAAGCAGCTATTTATTTCACTGTTGCATCATGAAACCTCCAAATTTTGTGTATGTGAATAATTTTAGCAATTAGGGTGACCAAATTTTCAAGATGCAAAACTGAGACACACCCGTTTTTGGATGTTTGGTATGAATAAAACTGTTAAAAGAGCGTGTAACAATGTGGATTCTCATGTCAATCATAATCAGAGGAACTTCTGTTTCTGTATTTTTTTTTTGCTTCATGGTCATTTGCAAGCACGATTATCTGTATTTTGGCCAAACAAATGACAATTTATGCTCCTCTTTACTGTTGGGAGGGATCAGATTAGTTGAAAATTGTGATAGTTCTGGTTGAGTCCTGGTTTAGACCTGGTGTAGTCCTGGTTTAGTCTTAGTTTATAGTCCTGGTTTAGATGAAATTGATCAAAAATAGGGACACCTTTGACATTTCTTGTGTAAAACTGGGACAGATCACTGGTTTTGGATAAATCTGCTGGGACAGGGGACACAGGACTTAAAACGGGGACTGTTCCAGGTCAATAGGGACGTTTGGTCACCCTATCAGCAATAGATACGTTATAATTTATTGACAGGTGCCAAGTCACGTGGTCCACATGAATCAGTATATATTATATAGTTATCAGTATATGTATTTGTATTCAGTACAGGACAGTTCAGTGCAGGGCTGTGCATGAGTGAGTTTGCACAATTAGTGTGTTTTTACATTCCGCCTCTACATGTGCAGCTACATGGAATGCTCGGCTCTTCAATATTCACGAGGGAATGCTTCCGTGATTGAGTAGTGTTTCCCGTAGCGCTTTATTGTTAGGTTAGCCTTGACTACGTCCCTCCATACAACACGAATCCTCTCAAAACTACAGCTGTGGTCCTCACTTTTACTGGCACGGAATCTCCCCCCCTTCCCAAGTTGGTTTTTCTGGCCAAAAATATGAAGATTGTGTAAAACTTCATACTGGAACTGGAACTGCTAGTGCAGCACTTTACTTTTTGAAAAGTTTTGTTTACTGTTTACAAGGAATTTATTTATTTTTTAAATCATATTTCATATATTTGTTGCTTATTTGAGAATATTTTATTTAATTTATTAGTATTACCAATCAGCACTTTGCATTTATTTTATTTTCCCATTTGTGTAATGTTAAAACAAACTGTTGGTTTAATAAATACACAAATAAACAACAAGCAAATGGTTTTGTTCTCATACTGTACTGAAAATGAACCAAACTGTGACCTCAAAACCGAGGCATGTGTGCTTTTTGTGGACCACTACACCCCTATCAATTAACATACCTATAACTGATTATTTATGTTTAATGCTATACTGTGAAACATTCCAGGCAATGCAATAGACAATCTTATACTCTCCAACAGAAAAATTACATAGTGCACCTTTAAGCTTATAACTTTGTCTCACACCAAATATTTGCCCTTGAAGCTACAGTGGTTTGGAATGCCTGAGCTCTGGTATTTTGGACCAGTTCATTTATTCATCTGAGGGCCTACAAAAATGTAACTAAGGGCTGAAATTGGACCCAGGGGCCTAGTACTGGACAGCATATACATTTATTTAGGATCTCTGGAGTTACAGCATGACTACATTCTAATACTGTATTCTACTCTGTGTGTTGTGACCACAGCAGTGACCCTCTTACCACACAGTTCAGACCCTCTCCCTGATCACGTCTTACATAAAACTGCCTCTCTGGGAACATCAACTGGTGCCAACCCACTGTACCACCTCAAGGCCCTGCACTCGCACACATAAATAATCCCAGCCTCTTTTTGTCCCTTCAGAGCCCCCGTACCCACGATATCAGTGCCACGGAACAGCCCAAATATATCTCTGCACTAACAAACAGTACGGCCCGGAGGGACAGCATCAGCACAAGAGTCAAACCAACGGTCACCTTAAGAGAAAACACGGCGGTCAAAGGGACAAGAAGTCACGTAGTTCTACAAAAATAAAGAAAGATGATGAAGATTGATTGGGTGAGTTTAAAGAGTTGTCACTTGTTTCAGTCTTGCATATTCTGGTCATCTCTCTCATTTTATGCTGAAAACACTTTGATGTTCTTATCTCCCCCTAATAATAAGAGGTTAATAATACATTCTTGCACTTGTATTGCATTTTACAGACTTGTCAAAGCCTTTCGAAGCTCTACACCACAGGACTCCAACTTTTTTTCCTTCAGTGAGTTACCTTTACAAAACTAAAATGCCAGAGAGCTCAATTTAGTGGTGGCAAGAAAGTAATTAAAGTAATTATAAGAGCCACGGCCTTTGAAAGTAACAGTTAGAGGCCTATAAAACATACACCATTATCCATTTATTAGTGCAAAAAGTAAAGTTGGGCATGAAAATTATACATTTACAATTTGAATAGTCATTCTGTTTATCTAATTTTAAGTAATTATAATTCAGAAATTCTTTGGCAAGCTACTTGGAAGGAGGTGGAGAGCTACTGGTGGCTCCTGAACTATAGATTAGAGACCCCTGCTCTACACTGCAAATCTATTATTACGCCAAACTGTCGATGTGAATGTCTGTGTTGATAGAATAATTTTAGAAGTAAAACCAACCTTGCATTTGAAGGATTTATGTCTGAGCAGCAGCAGCGAGTTGTACTTCCTGAAAGAAAGTTTGGCAGCAGCGGACTGATATCACCTAGCACCGATCTTACCGGCAAAGTAAAATTCCACTGCTGCTAAGAAAATGGTCCCTCAACATGCAACGATCATGCTATGCAAGGTTAGATTTATTTCAAACATTATTATATCAACAGACATTTACATTGACAGTCTGACGTAATAATAGATTTGCTTCGGGTGTTTTGTGGAGTGGGTAAGACTGTTTTTAGTGGCAGGATAACTATAGCCATTGACATGCACTAGCCTAGCACCAGAGACCTCTGCAAATACAAGGACTGGATGGAATATTTAAAACTGTCTTTATTTTATTGTCTCCACACGTCTCCAACACTCTGGCTCACTACGAAATGAGGTCCTATGTCCAAAATTCTGGACTGTCTCTTTAAATCTCCAACCTTTGGTGATGAGTGCTGTCAACCTGCTGTTCTTAACTTAAGGAAATGGAAAATGTATTCAGTTTGAAACAGCAGAACTGCGCTCTGATAAAACAAATGGAGTCAGACAAATGTTGGGTTTTTCAACAAAGTGCCGTTCAATACAGTGAAGTTCTCGAGGTGACCAAGAGATCTAATCAACCTGTGCTGGGGATTAAATGAGGATCTTTTTATGTTATCTTTAAACATAGGAAATAACAATGAAACCACAGATAAAAAAACCCAAACCAAAACAAACAAAAAACTGTCAAGACACCCAAGGCGCTTCACATTGCATTATACGGAGGTAAGCTACTATAGTAATGCCTCTCAAACTATCACCAATTACTCACACGTACTTCACATTCATACTGGACGAGGTGAAGTGTCTTGCCTAAGGACATGACATAAAGGCAGAGCTTGGCGTGAGCGGAAATTGTCCTCCAACCTTTGATTTGGGGGATCATTGAGCCACTGTCGCCCTTTGGATCAGTTGTCCTCCTCCATCCGGAGATTAGGTAACTTCCACTAAACACAACTGAATACAAACCAAAACAAAACTGTCAATTTCCTGAGTCTCTGTTTGGTAAAGTTTACATCACAAATAACAACACTGACATCTGTAAAGAGAGTTTATTATGAAGGATGGAGGAGGACAGCTGATCCAGGTTCAAAAGAGTGGCGTGGTGGCAAAATGGTGAGAGCTTCTGCCGGTCACAGCTAGGTCTTGGGTTCTATTGCTTCGCAGCGCAGGACCTTTCTGAGTGGAATTTGCATGTTCTCACCGTGTCTGTGTAGGTTTCCACCGAGTGCTCCAGTTTTCCCAACCACTAAAAACATGTACAATAGGCTCCCCTCTGGTTGCCTGATTCATCAACCAGTTTCACTTCGTAGAACCCGTCGGACCTCGCAGTGTTAGGATTCGTTCTCATGACAGTAGGCGGGTACTTTTTTATCATTTAACTAATCGCTGCTATTTGATCGAGACATATTTAATGCAACACTAACGGGGCTAACTGGTATATTAAGCTTTTCCAAAATCCCGCAGAAAGAAGGGCAATAATGATTTTGATAAAATTCATCAAACATTCTCTTTATCCCGGCTTTAATTCCTCGATCTTGGGAATCGTTGACAACACAGAATATATGTCTCTTCACTGATTGGCTGGTGCCCGAACTCGCACTTCTGGGGGTTTTGCAAACCGTCTAGTGTATTCTGATTCCTGACCTAGTAGCTGGAGAGAAATGAAACTGAGCAGAGGCACTAGGTGGCTCCAGCCTGGCTACCCCTGTGGGGCCATGACTCCCTGAAAAAGAGATTCAAAATCTCTCTCATTAGTAAACTTTAGAAAATTGAGCTGAAAGTTAAATCCTGATACTTGTTGATAAATATTACATATATGCTAGTTAAATAACCTTTGTTTCAGCTTATTAAAGTGCAGTTATTACAAAGTGACTTTCTGCAAGCCAAGAAAATGCACCAACTCCACTCATTAGGGAAATCAAAACAGTGACTTTCTTTCTATGGAGATTGCTTATCACTGTGCCACCACCAACGCACTGCTGCTTACTTTAAAGCACTCAAAACATTACGATATTCAAATTAAGACGTCTTTAAAATCCAGTCTCAAATCAGTCTAGCCCCATCTGATCTGGGTTGAACTGGGGTCAAACATGCTCACTGCCCCACGTAGCCTACCGCCAGGACTTTAACTCAAAACACATGTGGCTTTGGTCCTTTCTCTGACTCTATGGGACAAGAGGGGGGTGACAAGAGAGGGT